GCCAAGAGACATATAAAAAAATATTCTAAGTCACTAATCACAGATGCAAATGCAAATGACAATGTGCTATCACCTCACACCTGTCAGAATGGTTATCATCAACAAACAACAAGTGTTGGCAAGTGAAGAGAATGCAGACTGATGCAGGCACTGTGGGAAACAGTATGGACTTGCCTCGAAAAATTTAAAATGGAACTGCCATTTGGCCCAGTGATCCACTTCTAGGAATATATCCTCAGAAATCAGAAATACCAATCAGAATATATGCATGCTATGTTCATACCAGCACAATTTACAATAGGTAAGATTTGAAAACAGCCCAAATGCCCATTAGCAAATGAGTGGATAAAAAAGTTGTGGTACATTTTCACAATGGAATACTAGGCTACTGTAGAAAAGAAAGAACTCTTACCATTTGCAACAGCATGGATGGATCAGGAATGTTATGCTAAGCAAAATAACCCAGTTAGAGAAATATAAGTATCATATGATCTCACTTATATATGGAATCTAGTGAAAAAAATAAACTGAAGAACAAAATAGATCTAGAGACTGAGAAGCATGAAACAGACTATCAAACCCCAGAGGGAAGGCAGGGGAGGAAGGTAGGTAGGAAGAGATCAACCAAAGAATTTGTATACATATATGTGTTACCCATGGATACAGACAATAGGGTGATGAAGACCTGGGGTGGGCTAGAGGTGGTCAATGGGAGGAAAAAGGAGACATTATGTAATATAATAACAGAGTAAAAAAAGGAAAACATTTTCATTTATAATAACATAAAAATAACATACTAAAGAACAAATTTAACAAAAAATGTATCCTACAAAATTTGCAAAGTATTGAAATAAATTTTAAAAGACCTAAATAAGTAGAAAGATATCCCATGTTTCTGGATCAGAAGAATTAATATTCAGAGGGCAATACTCCCCAAATTTATATACACATTCAATTCAATTATGTCAAAATCCCAGCTGGTTTCTTGGCACAACTGATAAGTTAAATTTAAAATTCATAGGAAAATGCACTAGACCCAGAATAGACACAATAATCTTCAAAGAGAATAAAGATGACTCATAACTTCCATATTTCAAAATAGTACAAAGCTACAGTAATCAATATCATGTGGTACTTACTGGCTAAGGATAGATATACAGACCAATGGAATAGAATTAGAATCTGCGCGCGCGCACACACACACACACACACACACACACACACACACACCTCTCACCATTATGGATAATTGATTTTCAATCAGAGTGGCAAAAATATTCAATGAATAATGAATAGTCTTTTCAGCAACTGATTCAGTGATAACTGGATACACACTCACAAAAGGATTAATTTGTACCTATAACTCACACCATATACAAATACAAATCAAAAGTTATAGCTAGCCGGGACCGGTTTAGCTCAGTGGATAGAGCGTCGGCTTGGGGACTGAAGGGACCCGGGTTCGATTCCGGTCAAGGGCATGTACCTTGGTTGCGGGCATATCCCCAGTAGGGGGTGTGCAGGAGGCAGCTGATCGATGACTCTCTCTCATCGATGTTTCTAACTCTCTATCTCTCTCCCTTCCTCTCTGTACAAAATCAATAAAATATATTTAAAAAAAAAAGTTATAGCTAACACTATTAATATCTTAGAAGAAAATATTGGGTTAAGTTGTTCTTTTATTTTGAATTAGGCAACATATTCTGACATGTGATGCTAAAAGCACAAACAAAAAATTTTAAATTAAATCAATTGTACTTCAAAACTTAAATTTTTTGCATCAAAGGACACTAACAAAATGAAAAGACAACACACAGAATCAGAGATAATATTTTCAAATCACATCCAGAATATATATAAAAAAGCCTCTTAGAATTCAAAAGTGAAAAGGCAAATAACTCAATTAAAATGAACAAAGATCTCAGTAGACATTTATCCAAAACGGTGACCAAAAGGCAAATGAAAAGGTACTTAAATCATTAGTCATTTGCGAAATGCAAAACAAAAATATAATGTGGTACTATCCTATCTAATAAAGAGGGAATATGCTAATTGGCCCTCATGCCATCACAAAGATGGCGGTTCCCACAGACAATAAGGAGGGAATATACTAATTGACTGCCCTGCCCTTAAAGATGGCGGTGCTCACAGCCAATAAGAAGGGAATATGCTAATTGACTGCCCCACCCTCAAATATGGTGGCACCCAAAGGCAATAAGAAGGGAATATATTAATTGACTGCCCCAGAACCACAAGGTGATGGCACCCAGTCCCCTCAGCCCCACCAGGGCAGCAGGCCTGGCCACTCTGTGCACCTGCCTCCTGAGTCCCCCAGTCCCCTTAAAACCCCCAGCTTCCCAGGGCTGGACCAAGGTGCAGGCAAGCTTCAGATGGCGGCTGCCCAGCCATCTAGGGCTGCCTGAGGCTCAGGTAACCAGGACTGGCCAAGGCTTGCACACAGTAGTGGCAGCAGAAGTATGATGGGGTGTCGTCTTCCCCTGATTGCCAGGTCGCCTCCCGCTTCTGTTCTGAGGGCTCCTAGACTGTGAGAGGGAGCAGGCCAGGCTGAGGGACCCCCCTTCCCCCAGTGCATGAATTTTCATCCGCTGGGCCTCTAGTTTAACACATACTAGGATGGCTATAAATGTTGGCAAAAATGTGGAAAAACTGGAACCCTCATACTTTGTTGGTGGGAATGGAAAATGCAGCCACTAGGAAAACGGTTTGGAAAATTCCTCAAAATGTTAAACATGGCCCTAACCAGTTTGGCTCAGTGGATAGAGCATTGGCCTTCAGACTGAAGGGACCCCAGTTCGATTCCAGTTAAGGGCATGTACCTTGCCAGGCACATCTCCAGTTGGGGGTGTGCAGAAGGCAGCTGATCGATGTTTCTCTCCCATCGATGTTTCTAACTCTCTATCCTTCTCCCTTCCTCTCTGCAAAATAAAAATAAAAATAAATCAATAAAATATATATTTTTTAAATGTTAAACATGCATTTACCCTATGACTCAGCACTTCCACTCATCTATCCTATATAATAAAGAGGCAATGTGCAAATTGACTATCATGCCTTCGCACAAGATGGCAATCCCCATGTGGTCACAAGATGGCCACCACAATATAACCGGTAGGGGAGGGCAGTTGTGGGCAATCAGGCCATCAGGGTAGGGCAGTTGGGGGCAACCAGGCCATCAGGGTAGGGCAGTTGGAGGCAACTAGGCCTGCAGGAGAGAGAAGTTGGGGGGGGGGGGAGGGGACCAGTCCATTAGGGGAGGGCAGTTGGGGGCAACTGGGCCTGCAGGGGAGGGAAGTTGGGGGCAATCAGGCTGGCAGGGGAGTGGTTAAGGGGTGATCAGGATGGCAGGCAGAAGCAGTTAGAGGCAATCAGGCAAGCCAACGAGCATTTGGGACCCAGCAGTCCCAGATTATGAGAGGGATGTCCCAGATTAGAGAGGGTGTAGGCTGAGCTGAGAGACATTCACCCCAGTACACAATTTCATGCACCGGGCCTCTAGTATACAGTATATATAAAAGTCTAATATGCAAATTGTTCCCACTATAGTTCAAGTGGGAGACCTATCGCTTGCTATGATGGGCACTGACCACCAGGGGGCGGTGTGGAATGAAGGAAGGCCCCAGCAGGCATCTGGCAGCTGGGGAAGGGAGGCCCTGGCCAGCAACTGGAAGGCTCTGATTGGCCCTGGCCCTGATCACTGGCCAGGCCTAGGGACCTTACCTCTGCATGAATTTCATGCACTGGGCCTCTAATGAATATATATAAAGATAATTTAAAGCATATGTTCACGCAAAAATTGTATGCAAATATTCACAGCAGCATTCTTTTTTTTTTTTTAATTTATTTCAGAGAGGATGGGAGAGGGAGAGAGAGACAGAAGCATCAATGATGAGAGAGAAGCATGGATTGGCTGCCTCCTGCATGCCCCACACCACGGATGGAGCCCACAACCCAGGCATGTGCCCTGATCGGGAATCCAACTGTGACCTGGTTCAGAAGTCAACACTCAACCACTGAGCTAGGCTCACAGCAACATTATTCTTTACAGCCAAAATGTGGAAACCACATAAATGTCCATCGATTTAGTAAAGGATAAATAAAATGTGATATAACTATACAATGGAATATTATTCAATAAAAATAGAATGAAGTTCTGATACCTGTCATAAAATGGATGAACCTTGATACTATTATGTTAAGTGAAAGAGGCAGACACAAAAGACCATGTATTATATATGGTAAGTCCATTTACATGAAATACCCAAATAAGAAAATTCATATAGTCAGGTAGCAGATTAATGGTTACTAGGGTCTGGGGTAATGGGGGACTAGAGAGTGACTCTTAATGGGTAAGGAGTTTTATTTACGGCGATAAAAATGCCTTGATGTTAGATTCGGAGTTCTGATGATTGCAAAATCTTATGAATATACTAAAAATTACTGAATTGTGGATGTTTGACCTTAAAATGATGAACATTACAGTATGTACATTATAAACCAATTTAAAATGATTGGAAATTTATATTTTAAAATTTATAGCTGTTATTTTCTTGAACATCTTTCTTATCAATATTCTTTTTTTATATATATATTTTATTGATTTTGTACAGAGAGGAAGGGAGAGAGAGAGTTAGAAACATCGATGAGAGAGAGTCATCGATCAGCTGCCTCTTGCACACCCGCTACTGGGGATATGCCTGCAACCAAGGTACATGCCCTTGACTGGAATCGAACCCAGGACCTTTCAGTCCCCAAGCCGACGCTCTATCCATTGAGCCAAACCAGCCTCGGCTCTTATCAATATTCTATATATTAAGCTCCCTTGATCTTTTGAACATCTCTGTTTTTAATTCTAGTGGGAATGAATGCTAGTGACAGATGTCTGGTTTTCACTAGGTCTTTCTTCCTCATTAACATAGTGCTCATTCTGGTACATGTATCCCAGCACAGATTTAGTGGCATAGGCTTAGTGGTGGCACTGCATGGTCACGTGTCTGTACTGTGGTACTGATGGAGATCACTCAGTCTTCTCCCACTCCAGGTGCCTTCAGGACAATGAGTGGAACTACATCAAAGCTGCTCAGGTCTTCGCTACGCTCAAGGTGAGGTCTGGGTATCAAGTGGGTTAAAGACAGATGTTTCTGGGCCTTGGGGGAGGCCAAGAAGATGGAAGCTGGTGCCCTGGACTAAAACTCAGGGAGCTGGCTCTTCTGACACCCTGACTCCTCCTCTCCAGACCCAGGGGAAGATCCCAGAGGAGGCCTTCAAACAAATCCCTTAAAAAGAGCTCTTGGTGTCAACTTTGTCTTCATCCACATTATTCCTCTTTTCTACTGCGTAAGGCCACACCCAGGACTGGGGCTGGAGGCCTGGCTGACCAAGAAGCCAAAGTTACCCAACCACCTGAACTGCCATTTGTTCTGTTTATTCTCCCCATTCATGATCTCTGTGGTTGTGTTTTTTCTTTTTCTTTTTCATAATAAAGAGTGATGTTACACATTGTATGTCATGTGTCTTGGATCTCTCTTCCTGTGCCCAACCATGAGCAACGAGTTCAGGACTGAAAGGCCCTTCCCTCTCCAGCCCCAGCTCCCCCATTCACCCTGGGAGTCTCTAGCAGACACATCAGGCTTGACTACAAAGGCAGTTTGTCAATAGATTCTAATGAGAATGGACACATAATGCTTCCAGAAGTTGGCCTTTGGAGATAGTGTGACTTAGTCATATGCTTTACCCACAGAAGCAGGCATGGGACCTGGCACAAAGGGATTCTGCAAGGAATTCCTAATACAACATGTATGAACCTTTACGCTAAGTGAAAGAAGTTACAAAGGACTATATAATGTATTATTTCACTTATATAAAACATTCAAAGTATGAAAATCCATAGATATAAGGTAGATTAGTGTGTGCCAGACTCAGGAGCCAAAGGGAAATGGAATGACATCTTAATGGACATAGGATCTCCTTTTAGAGTGATGAAAATGTTCTGGAATTATATCGTGATGAGGGTTCTACAAAATTTGTACTAAATGCCACTGAATTGTTCACTTTAAAATGGTTAAAAATCTGTTTATATTGTGTAATTTTTTCCACAATTAAAAAAACATACACTAAAATATGCATGAACCCTGAAAATACTTTGCTAAGTGCAAAAAGCCATTTACATGAAATATCTAGAGTAGATAAACCACAGTGACAGAAAGCAGTTATGTGGATGCCAGGGCCTGGGTGGAGGGAGAATGAGTGTAAGAGCTTAATAATATGGGGTTTGTAAATAATTTGTGTAACTAGATAATGATGGTTATACAACATTGTGAACATAAGTAATGCTACTGCATTGTATACTTTAAAATGATTAAAGAGGTAAATTTTATGTTGTCTATATTTTGTCATAATCTTTAAAAATCTACAGTGGAGTTCTTTTAAAAATGGTACTGAATTTTTAATGAATATACTTACTGTATATTGAAATGTCGATAATACAGAAGACTATAAAAACCAAAGGGGGAAAAACCATCACAATCCAAATCATGAGCACAGTCTTCACTGCTGATTTTTGCTTTTCTTTATACATACTCTATACTTATATAACATCATCTAGATAACACTGTTTTACAAAATAATTTTTTCACTTGGCATCATTTCTTTGGAATTTTCCCTATATTACTAAAATCTTCTAAAACATTTTTAAAGCAATTTGAAAAATACTACAAATAAACAGAAAAACAGTTGACCTCCATGGCAGGTCCCTCCCACTGTCTTCCCCTCAGTGGACCCCTGAACAGTGAAAGAACTTGGGAAGGCCACTCCAGAACCTCCAAAGTCTGGCCTTAAACTGCCTTTCCTCTCTCAGCCTGCTTTCCTGACACGTCCTCTACCCACCTGACTTTTTGTGCAGGAGCTGTGGTGGGTCAGGCCTAGAAGGAGCGCACAATGGGATGATGGGGTAGTTTAGCAATTAATCCGTTCTCACTTCAGTAGCTGCTTACCTCATTTCTACTTCATCCTCCATTGTAGGTGACAAGCAAACTATGAGATTGGGAGGGAAGGGTTATGGGCACGAAGATATTTGAGTATTAATCCTCTTCCATGAGTACAGAATGATTTTCCCTCATGCCCACGCTCAAGCTCCCACATATTTAGGTGTGAAAAAATATCACCGTTGGCATCAGGAGCGGAGGCAGAACATAAGAATGGGACATGTACACACAAGGGTAGTTTGATATTCACATGCTTCTCTCTTCCATTTGTTTTCCCTTTATCCTTATCCCACCTTTACCTCGACTATTTCCCTGTAGGAAATTTGGTAAGCAACAACGGCGAGAGATTTAGGCGAGAAACAAGATTACGGAGTTTGATATTTACCAACCAATCAGACCAGAGCAGCTTTCCAGATGCCCCGCCCCATTCGTGTGGAAGGGTTTCTCTCAAAGAGGGGACAGTTTTGAAATCGATAACAATTTATCCTGATCTCTCAGTCTCGAGCCTCTCTCCCAACCAGATCTCTTCAACCTGCGCATTTCAGTGGGCCGAGGACTTAGTGACGTGAACCTGTATAATAAATACGGCGCTTTGGTATCCATCCGCCTAGTCAGGCTGGAGCGGGTTCCCTGACGTCACCGCCGGAAACCCGCGAACATTACAGGGTGGGGGAATGCAGGCTTGCTGGGGGGAGCTCCTAAAAGAGGGGAACTAATACCTAGGTCCTCTGACAAAAGCCGGCTTCTCTCCGTCCAGCGCATCTTTCTCTACATCCAGATTCCCACGCTGCACATCCAATACCGGAAACAGCCGCGGGAGCGGGCGGAAGTCAGGACGGAGAAGTGCTCCGCACAGCGCGGTATCCATCCGCTCGCGTTGGCCGGGGCTCCTTAGCTCCGCTCGCTGCGCTCGCAGTGGGTTTTGGTGTTGGCGACGGAAACACGGCGGAGCCTGCGGAGGGAAAGGTAGTTGTTGATTTCGTCACGAGGAGCGGGTCTCTGAGGAGCCCTGGGGATGAGAAAGAAAGGGAAATGCCCCAAAGTGACTGTTGTTTGGCAATTACGGCATTTAACCTGATAAAGCAGGCCTCTTGTCCCAGGCGCGCGGGCAATCCTCAAACACAGTCGCCGCCATTGTCCTGGTGTCCATTTGACTGTCTTTCCCTCTTTCTGTAGGGCATGGCATCCCCTGAGGCAAGGACATGAGAAAACTGCCCCTGATCCAAGCAGAGCAGGTCAGTGAGAAGGCGGGTACGGTTTGGGAACGTGGATGTGGGTATAAGAGATGAATGGTGACCTGGTCTGAGGCGTGGGCGGTGAGAGTGATGGAGGGACGGTATTAATTTGATCGCCACGCAGCGATAAAGTTAAAATGATATGTCTCTTGTTAGTTTGACTTTTCAGACCCTCACCCCACCTCCGACCGTGTTGGAGAAGGGAAAAGAGTATAATAACAGCTTCTAGTGGAGAAGTGGCGTATTATTATATAAAATAGAAGGAAGGGCTGCAGCTATTGGTTAAGAAAAGTTGCCTGGAGAGCCCAGGAAGGGAGAGAGGGTAGATGCAGATTGTAAGTGTTTGATAATCAAGGCCCTGAATTAGAAAAGGGTCTCATGTCCTGGTTACTAGTCTGACCATATGAATTTTATATGTGTATGTCTGTTCCTAAGTTTGCAGTACTCCATGCTTTTGTAATCTGTAAGGGGCAGAGGACCTCGAAGGGACGGGATAAGAAAAAAGAAAATTAGCCTGATTTTCGTGGAAATAGACAGTGCTTTGAAGGTGGTAGATAGCTAAGACTAGAGCAGGTAGGGGTCTAGGGGAAACCCAGATCTCCAGCTTTCCGAACGGTCTTTAATACATCTCATTGTGCTGAAGCAACTGATAGGTTTTGGGGAAAGTATGAAAACATGAGAACTTAGATGAAATTTGAAAATAATACTTTTCATTGATTTCCCAACGAACTTCCATGGCTGAGCATTCCATCCCTATTGACACCACCGCTATAATGCAGGGATGTTTGTGTTGTCAGATTTGGGGAATGAAACAGAAGATTGGAGATTTGGGAAAATGGGAGGTAGAAAATTTTGGCGAAAAAATATCTGTATCAAGAAGGCATTGGTGTCCTAGATGCTGCTCTCTACCAAGAACTCAGTCTCCATTGTGTCCTGTGTCTCCATTTGTTTATCTCTGCATTTGTAAGTCTCTGTGTGTTCTCTTAAGTCTGTAGGACTCTCAGTTGTGAAGGTTTATAAATGGTAACCCAACTTGAAGCTAGGAAATGATGAAAAGTGCCCTGTGTCTGTTAAGATTGGCATGATGGTAGAGGTACTAGAGAATTATATCTCTTCTGTTTTGCCAGTTTACTAACCCCTGTTGATCTGCTGCTGATTTAGTTGGGAACCTTCACAAGCATTGGGGTTACAGAAGGGTAACATCTGCTTTTCTAACTTCCCATCTGATTTTCCTATCCATATGCTTCACCCTAGCCCAATTCTAAACAAGGAAAACGTTAGGGCAGTCACTGAAGAGGAAAATGGTTGGTAGCAGGAAGGAGAGGAGTAGTCCTAAAGCAGGACAATGGGGAGAAGGGACCAGAAGGAGGGGAACACTGGAAAAAGTACAAATATAGGGAAAGTACAAGGTCTTTCTACCAAGAGATCGGTTTCCATAACCTCCTGTTTGATTATCTGTCTATAGATCTTTTGTAGAGCTTATCATCATTGGCAGCAAGGAAAGGAAGAGAAATTACTCCAAATCAGTGCAGATTGGTATGGATGTGATGGAGACATCCTCAGTAGTCATGTAGGATGAGGTAGTGGACATCTGCTTGGTTCCAGCAGGGGTAAAGAGCCAATCTAGGGATTTCTCTGTCTCACTCCCATCCAGCTTTCCCACTCTCCATATTTCTGTTTTATGTATGGGAAAGAAGATTAGTAGCACCTGCAGTTGAAGAGTGTGAATTTAAGGAGATTGCTAATTATCTACCTCTCCCATTTAACACCGAGTTTCCGTACCCTCCTGTCAAAATGAGCAAAACATTGGAAGATACTCAAAGCCCCATTTCCTTCCTCCACTCCTAGGTTCAACTTCAGTTGCAGATCTGGTGGCCTTCGAGGGGCTGAAGACCACCATCCTCCACAGGGTTGCGCTCAGGCACACAGCCATTCTTCTGAGTGAGCTTTCTCTGCACATTGCTTATATCACTGGCAGAGCCTGTAGTTGAAAAGGGGGCTGAGTGACTGCTGGACTTTGTATGAAAACACCAACCTGGGATGGACCTTTGGTTAAGGCTGTGACGGGTGGGGGTATATAAATTGGCCTTAACTTTAATTTTGATCTTGACTGGCTCTGAGGCCAAGGCAAGGACAGAGGTCAGGCCTGGGCTGGCCTGAAAACTATAATCAGTGGCCCTGTAACCCAGGACCAGTAACCCAGGCCAAGGCCGGGGATGGAGCAGTGGCCAGGACACAGAAAGTGACCTGTGGCCATGGCTACGGCAAAGGAAGTGAGCAAGATGGAAGCAAAGAGTAAGACTAGAGTCATGGCTGAAACTAAGGCAAAACCCCTGGCAGAACCTGGTGTAGTGCCCCAAAACAATTCAAAAGCCATGCCTACATCCAGGTTCAGTGCTGTGCACAAGTATGAAGTCAAGGCTGATGCTGGAAGTGAAACCAATATCGGGTCCTTTTCCAAGGCTGATAATAAGGCCGATATTGGATCCAGACCCCTGAGAAGGAAAGAGGCCAGCACCAAGGTCAGGGATGGGGACAGAGCTGGTATAATCGAGTCCAATGATGAGGATGAAGAAAATGTCTGCTCCTGGTTCTGGACTGGAGAAGAGCCTAGTTTAGGATCCTGGTTCTGGCCTGAAGAAAAGAACCCATTTCAAGCTTATAAACCTCCACCACCTAAGACCAAGGAAGAGCCCCATCCCAGACCCTGTTGTGATCTTCCTATAAAGCGAAGAGCAGCAGCATGGTCAAGGGCCAGGTATAGTGTCCTAGTCCCAATAGATGGAGGGAAACCATCCTTGCCTCCAGAAGGGAATTGGACTCTGGTTTCGACCTTGATTGAAACTCCCCTGGGTATTCGGCCTCTGACCAAGATCCCACCCTTTGATGATGGGCCTTACTTCCAGACCTTAGCTGATCTCAAAGAGCAGATTAGGTATAGGGAAAAGTATGGGCCCAATCCAAAAAACTGCCGCTGCAAATCACGTGTCTTCAGTTTAGAGCCTAAAGAGTTTGATAAACTTGTTGCCCTACTTACGTTAACTAGAGATCCTTTCATTCATGGAATAGCAAAGATGATAATGGGCATCAGTCCTGCTTATCCATTTACCCAAGATATCGTTCATGATGTAGGTATTACTGTTATGATTGAAAACCTGGTCAATAATCCCAATGTTAAAGAACACCCCAGAGCTTTAAATAAAGCGGATGACAGCTCTGAATCTTCTGAAGAAGCAAAATCAGAAGAGTTGTATGTAAATGATGTCTGTAAGGACATAATCTCTTATCCTTTGAACTCCCCCATGCAACATGCCGAATTAAAATTATTGGAGCACTTGAGTATGAAATTTGAGAATCACCATATGATTTCCCATTATATTCCAGATCTCCTCGACTTGTTAAGCAAGGGAAATGTCAAAACCAAGTATTATGTTTTAAAAGTGTTCTCGCGCTTAGCTAAAAATCAAGCTAATACAAGAGAACTGATCAGTGCCAAAGTACTGTCATCATTGGTTGCACCCTTTAACAAGAATGAGTCAAAGGCCAATATTCTTAATATTATTGAAATTTTTGAGAATATAAATTTCCAATTCAAAAAGAAGGTGAAGTTATTTACCAAGGAAGAGTTCACTAAATTTGAACTTATTTCCATATTCCAGGAAGCAAAACAGTTTAGTGAGAAACTCCAAGACTTAGCAGAGCACAGTGATCCTGAGGTGAGAGATAAAGTTATACGATTAATACTCAAACTCTGAATAGCTGAATGTTCTCACAAAGCCTTGAATAATTTTTGGTGTAATATGAAACCAATGCATATTATAAGTTCAGTATTTATGTTATCTGTGTTGTTTGAAGGACAATTTTATGGATACCAAATGATGATGTTCATTTTTATTGTGCTATATAAATTGAGATATTTTCATTATTTGTGTAACATGACCTAATAATGAAACTGTTCATCCTGAGTAAGATATACTTCTGTGCTTTATATAGACATAAGTGTATTCATTTGAGACTTCATTTACATAATAAAGTTGCATGCTAAAACTGGTAAAAAATTGTCCTAGTTCTTCAGTTGAAGTATAGTATAAAGCACAACCAGTACAACGATATTAAAAAGCACTGTTTGTGTGTGTAGAGGGATACCAACCAAACAAATTCACATTGACAGATCCTTTAGTTGCATGTTCAAAGAGTAGAATTACTCTGTACACAAGAAGACATGACTGCTACTGGCTGACATATGGACAAATCTGGGAAAAGGGGTGAAGACACAGACTTAGGAGAAAGGGAACACAGATGGTTTCATCCCAGTCTGAGCCCCAGAACTTTTGTTCAGCCTTTCACATAGTATACCTTTAACTTGTTAACCCCCAAAATGATTCCCAGTTCTCACACTCATTCAGCAAAACCATGGAAGTGTAGTTGTGATACAACTCCACCATGCCCTCAACATCCAGGTAACACACTAGAGGTACCAGATTTACTGCTTCATCAGATCCCTCCCGCTGTAGTCCTGAGCCTCAGAGGAAGATCTTTCTGAGTACCTAAACAGCTTCGTGGATAGTTTCATTTATCCTACCTTGGTGACTATTTAGTATCATCCTTGTTTTTTTGTTTTTGTTTTGTTTTGTTTTTTTGCTGGCCAATCCTTTGGACTTATTTGTGCCTATCCTTGATGGCAACCCTGTCTTTTTGTTTTGTTTTTTGGTTAATCCTTACCCCAGGATATTTTTCCCATTGATTTTTAGAGAGAGTGGGAGAGACAGAGAGAGAGAAACATCTATGTGAGAGAGACATCAATTGGACCGAGGCCGGGGATCAAGCCTGCAACTGAGGTATATGCCCTTGACCAAAATTGAACCCGAGACCCTTCAGTCCACAGACTGACACTTTAACCACTGAGCAAACCAGTCAGGACACAGTTGATTTTCACTGATCCCTTTTGGTCAGAGCTCAACTCTAAGAGACAGTCATAGGATACCGAAGTCTTTTTAGGCGTATGTTGTTAGAAAGAAATTAATTCCCCTATCCCACTAGCCTATTTGTTCAGGTGTACAACTTAGTATAGCCATGTTGTCTATACTATCTCAGCTCCTCCTATTTAAACTTAACTAAAGTTAGATTCTGGCTTTGGGGTTGTGGCATAGAATGCCAGAGTATAGATTGGGATGTGAGGGCCACCTCTGTCTATTCTAACTTCTGCTTCCTTTGCTGCTGTTATCCTCTTTACTGCCCAGAATTGGGAGATAGAGATATTAGGATCAGTGTACAAATATTAATCTTTCTATTGAACTTCCTCTCTTAACATTTTATGTATTGGGCAGAAGCCCTAAACTGAAAAATCTTAACAAGGTATCATGTATCCCTAGTTTTAGCAGCTATCCCTGGTTTAAGTTCTATTAAGATAAAGTCTGAACTTCTATTTCATACATCTAGGAGTTAAAATGAAGGATAACTGGTCACACTTGGACATTAAGCTTACCTGAAAAAAAAGCAGGTAAGCTTTTTGGAATGTGCAATCGTAACATATGATTTTTTAAGTTATTTATAACTTGCTTTTTAATCCACAGAACTCCCATAGCCTGGAATTCCAGCTCTGGGTACTGCTTTCAGAGTTGAGAACCTCCACTATACAACTGGACCAGACCCTTTGGAATATTCTGTGTCTTGAACTCCCTATGGAGCAAACACTTAATCAGTTGATGACTATAGATTTTTCCATCAGCTAAAGAGAAGGGTGAGTGTGGGGTATGTCAGTATTTGTATCAAAGCAAGTAACTGATGGTCTTTTTGGGTGGGAATCAGGGGAGATAGAATCATTTGCCAAATTGTTCTTGGGGTGTCATTGAGATCAAAACTTAATCTCTGTTTCATCTCCTTTCCTGGTAAAATAATTCAGGCGAGCCCATGCAGTATCAGGGCTAATCAAGATGTTAATTATATATAAAGTGTTTCAACCAGAAATAAAAATTAGTGTGGATTTCTCATCTTGCAAAAGGAACAAAATAGAGGAACAACAACAACAAAAGCACACCTCTGGAAATGCAGAAGGAGCTATTAATTAAAACATGGGAAAAGGGAAAATAAGGCTGTTCCGAGAAAACTTCAAAAAGGACCTGGACTCTTTGCAAGGAATCTTCCTCCAGCAAAGCTGGAATATTAGCACCCACTGGCCCTCTACTATGTCCTCAATTTTAAAAGAGGAACATTCAGTGGAAATTTATAAGATATCGCCAAGTTCCCTAGCAAGGCTTTCAAAACTTTATTCTTCAGCACTTTTCCATTTTGCCCATTATGTCCCATTAATTGACCTATATTCAAGTCACTGGACTATTTGTTGACTATTTCTTGTACTTTTCCTACTTTTGTGCATTTCCTCATACTGTTCACTATGTTGCAATGCCCTTATAACCTTTTTCTGACTATGGGGAAACTAATTCATAATTTAAGCTCAGTTAAAATGCCAGATCTTTTTTGAAGTCTTCTCCAACACACTTATCTTCCCTTTCCCCACGTTGAAATTAATAGCTCCTTCTGCATTTCCAGAGGGGTGTGTTTTTGTTTGTTTTGTTCCTCTATTTTAGCATGTCTGTCTTTATATCATGTCGTGGGATCTTAATTTTAAGTTTGAACTTGTGTTTAGGGACAGTATAGAGGGGGAAGCTTAGGTTTGAGAGTATCTGACTCCAAAGACTTATTTTTTTTTATTATGTACAGTAATAATAATTAACATTTATACATTTATTGAAGTGCCTACTATTACCAGATACTGTTCTACGTGCTTTACTTGTATTAATTCATTTAATTCCTAAAACAGTCCAATGGAGTAGATACTGTTATCCACATTTTACATGTGAGAAAGCTGAGATACTGACTGGTTAAATAACTTGACCAAGTTCATTGAATTTGTTTTTGTTGTTCCTCTATTTTGTTCCTTTTGAGATTCAAACCTTTGCATTCTGAATCTGGATCTAGCATATGTGACCACTTTTTAACTCTGTACCCCAACATAGCTCCTAGTAAAGTACATTGCCCATCCCAAATTTAATTTGTGTGTTGGTAACACCTGACCCTTCTCTTTTTTCTTTGTGTAGACCACTTCTGCCTTACCTTCATTTCCTACCTAAGCATTTGTGGTTTATCACATTCAACATGTTATTAAATTTGCCTTTTTATTGTGATAAAATACATAACAAAAAAATTGGCATGTTATAAAGTACATAACAAGAAAATTGGCATGCTAATGATTTTAAGTGTACAATTAATTGACACCATCACTACAATCTATTTCCAAAACATTTCATCACCTGATAAAGAAGCTGCGCTACCATTAAGTAACTAGAGGCCCGGTGCATGAAATTCATGCACAGGGTGGGGGGTGTCCCTCAGCCCAGCCTGCACCCTCTCCAATCTGGGACCCGGGATCGGGTCTTAATGGGCAGTTGGACATCCCTCTCACAATCCAGGACTGCTGGCTCCCAACTGTTCACCTGCCTGCCTTCCTGATTGCCTGAACCATTTCTGCCTGCCAGCCTGACCACCCCCAAACCACTTCAATGCCAGCCTGATTGATGTCTAACTGCTCCCCTGCCAGCCTGTTTGCCCCCAACTTCCCTCCTATGCCGGCCTGACCACCCCTAACTGCCCTCCTCTACAGGGTTGATCACCTCCAACTGCCCTCCCTTGCAGACCTGGCCCCTCTCAACTGCCCTCCCCTGCTGGCCATCTTGTGTTAGCCATCTTGTGTCCACATGGGGGTAGGATCTTTGACCACATGGGGGCAGCCATCTTGTGTGTTGGAATGATGGTAAATCTACATATTACTCTTTTATTAGATAGGATAGAGGCCTGGTGCATGGATGGGTGCCAGCTGGTTTGCCCTGAAGGGTGTCTTGGATCAGGGTGGGGGTTCCCTTGGGGTGTGAGGCGGCCTGGGCGAGGGACCTGAGGTGGTTAGCAGGTCAGCCACGCCCCCCAGCAACCCAAGCGGAGGCCCTGGTATCTGGAATTTATTTACCTTCTACAATTGAAACTTCGTAGCCTGGAGTGGAGCTAAGGTCCCTGCTCATTCCATGGCTGCCGCCATTTCTGTTTGGATTTGTTTATCTTCTATAATTGAAACTTTGTAGCCTTGAGTGAAGGCCTAGGCCAACCAGGGCAGGTGGAAACCTTGGCTTCCTCCATTGCCGGGGGCAACCCTAGCCTGTTCTCTCCAGCTCCGTGGCTGCCAACATTTTTCTTGGGATTTATCTACTATAATTAAAACTTTGTATCCTTGAGTGACACCTAGGCTGGCCTGGGTGTGTGGAAAGCTTGGCTTCCTCTATTGCCAGGGAAACTCAAGCCTCTCAACTGTTCTTTGTGGCTGCAGCCATCTTGGTTGGGGTTAATTTGCATACTCACTCTGATTGACTGGTGGGCATGGCTTGAGCGGAGTGATTGTTAATTTGTATATTACTCTTTTATTATGTAGGATAATTTCTCATTCTCCCCTCCCTCTAGCCCCTGGTAATCACCAGTCTACTTTTAAGTAGAATCATATAGTATTTGTCCTTTTCTGTCTGGCTTATATCACTTAGTATGCCATTTTCAAAGTTTATCCATGTTGTAGCATGTTTCAGAACTTTATTCCTTTTTAAGTTTTTTTTAAATTGTTATTTATTGACTTTAGAGAGAGAGGAAGGGGGGAGAGAGAGAATGAGAGAGAGAGTAATATTCCTATGTGTGTACACCACATTTTGTTTACCATTCATTTGTTGATGGACACTTAAATTGTTTCCACTTTTATGAATAGCACTGCAATGAGCATTGGTGTACTGTTCGAGTTCCTGTTTTCAATTTTTTGAATATACCTAGAAGTAGAATTGCTGTGCTATATGATAATTCTATGTTTAGCTTTTGGAAGAACTGCCAAACTATTTTTCACAGCAATGGCACCATTTTACATTCCCACTCAAGGGTTTGTTTAATAGTCTATTCTTTTCCCATTGAATTTACTTGACACCCTTGTCAAAATCAATTGGTCCTAGACATATTGGTTTATTTCTGGACTCTTAATTCCATTCCATTCATTTCTATGTCTATCTTTATTCCATGGGGGTGGGGGGTTTGATTACTATAGCTTTGTAGTAACTTGAGAAATCAGGCAGTGTAAGTGTTCCAAAGTTTCTTCTTTTTCAATATTGTTTTTGTTAATCTATCTCTTTCCATTCTATATGATTTTAGGATCAACTTTTCCATTTATACAAAAAAAAGCCATTTGGATTTTGACAGGGATTGCATTCAATCCATAGATTGCTTTGGAGGTATTACCATCTCAATAACATTAAGTCTTCCAATCTATGAATACAGGATTCTTTTCAATTTATATAAATATTTATTTTAGCAATATTTTATCTGTCAATGGACATCTTGGTTATTTCCACCTTTTGGCTATTGTGAATAATTCTGTTAACAACACTGGTTGTATAAATATCTATTTGAGTCCCTGCTTTTGGTTATTTTGAGTATATAACTAGAGTAGAATTATTAAAAATAGAATTATCATATGTTTAATCTTTTGAGGAATTTCCATACTGTTTTCCAAAGAAGCATCATTTTACATTTCCACCAGCAGTGCACATGGGTTTCAATCTATCCTCATCCTTGCCAACATTTGTTATTTTCTGTGTTTTGACCAGTTTGAATGTATGTGAAGTGGTATCTTGTGGTTTTGCTTTGTATTTCCCTAATATCTGGTGATGTTGAATATATTTCCACTAGAGGCCCGATGCACGAAATTCTTGCAAGGGGCTCGGCCCTCGCAGCCCCGGCTGCCTCGGCCCTTGCAGCCCCAGCCTCATCTGGAAGGTTGTCCAGATGGTCTTTCCACTGTTCAGCCGTTCAGTTGATTTGCATATTGTGCTTTTATTATTATAGATTTGCTTATTGGTCATTTGTATGTCTTCTTTGAAGAAATGTCTGTTCATGACCTTTGCCCTTAAAATTAAAACTTTAAAAATAGGTTTGTTTGGTCTTTTGTTGTTGAGTTTTAGGAGTTCTTCATGTATTGTTGATATTAACCCCTTATCATATGATTTGCAAGTATTTATTCCCATTCGGTGGAACTGTCTTTTCACTTTCCTGAAATGGTCTTTTGATACACAAAAGTTTTTAATTTTGATGAACTCCAATTTATCTATTTTTCCTATGTGTTTGGTTTTTTTCATAGCTAATAAATCATTGCCAAACCCAATGCCATGAAGTTCTTCCGTATGTTCTAACAGTCTCAAAGTTTTAGCTCTTAAGTTTGTCTTGGATCCATTTGAGTTAATTTTTGTATATGATGTAAGGTAAAGGTCCAAATTCATTATTTTGCATGTGGTAATTCAGTTTTCCCAGTCACATTTTTTTAAAGGAATGTTTATTTCTAATTGAATGGTCTTGGTACCCTTGTCAAAAACCATTTGGCCATGTATGCAGGGGGTTATTTCTGGGCTATCTATCCTGTTTCACTGGTTTATTGTCTAACTTTTTGTCAGTACAGTAAAACCTCGACATAATAGACTAATTCAAGCAAGGGGAGTCCATTAAAGCCAAAAGTCTGTTATGTAATAAAATAGGTTTTCCAAATAGGTATGTTAAAAATGTACAAATTAGTTAGTTGACCTGTTTTTACTTATTTAGACACGTTTCTGTAATGAAAATTAAGTATTGATTTCACAGAAAAGTTTTCTATGTATATTACTGTAATTTTAA